AAACAGTGTGCATTTCTTCGAAAGTGACTTGCATATTTTTTCAAGTATAATTTAAAGATCGTTTGATAAAAAAATACAGATCGGGCAACAAGCGAGCAATTTTTTTATCACGTAACGTGTATTTAACGATGTTGCAAAATGAAAGTTAGAAATCGCTGTCATTATATTATGTAACAGATTGCACAAATCACAAAGGCGTAACTGCATTTATTTTTATTATATTTCCAACACAAGCAAATTTCATGATAAAGCACGAACATACATAGATGCGCAAGATAAAAACAGTCGCGGAGCAATTGAACATTACGAAGCAGTTTACATGTTACTATTAATTATGAATTTTATTCTGCAAACGGAAGTTCAACTGTTCTTGCGTCTCTATTATATAAGCAATTCTTGCAAAGAAATATTGTAGAAAAGCAGACATAAGAATGATCGAGGAAAAACTATTTTTAATGTCACATTAAGATTGCACAATTTAATATTAAGAGGCATCGTTATAATGAGGATTATAAACTTTCAAAAATTGGTTGCTGCTACAAAGTAGATTGCGAATTTCTCCCGAATAATCATATATCTTATTAAAGTTGTAGCTAATTTACGCTAACAATATTTGTGAGCATCATTATATTATATTTATCCTTATTTAGCATTTTATAAACAATAAGAATAAAATATAATTTAAATTTTAAGCGCTGTGAGTATAAATCGGTTTAAATTTACGAAAAATGCTTTTTTAAGTAAACTTGTAATCGCAATCTTGCGTTAAAATGATAAAACTTAAATTGCGCAATTTAATTTAATTCGTAGTGATTCGTTTTGTATAAGATTCGCGGAGGTTTCATGTCATTCGTATAGTGTAGATCTTTATATGATTCCCATTTATAATTTTATTAAAATTTACAATTTTAATAAAATTTTATTCATAATTTCTTATTTAATACAATAATAGTGCCTATTAGAGTCAATACAGATTGTCAGGACATCCTGTATTGACTCTACTATTATTATTGTATTGATTTATGTCAATTAAGTCTTAAAAAACCTATTTTAATTATATTCTTATTTAATATGATAATTTAATAATAAAAAAAATTATGTCAATGATAGCTCAAAAAATTAAAAAGTTAAGAACATATAAATATTATGCAATAATATTGTTCGACTAGGAGAGTTAACTAATTGCACACATCCCGATTGCACACATCTACTCCTCTTGAAAGTTTTTCAGTGTACCACCAAGGACAAAATTTTTAAATTAACCAATTAGTAATGTGAACAATTGATCATTAAGGTCTTGCATTTGGCCATTAATCGTAGTGTTCACATTCTTTGATTTTATCAGAAAGAAGAATCACAAATTTAATGAATCCACACACTGTTCGTAAATCTCATACGAATAGCGAATTTCAAATCACAAATCTCGCAGTCCGATTTATTATTACGGCTTTATAACTTTGTTAAATTCTTATAAAGGTCATGGTTTTTGAAAACTCGACGAAATTATTACCGATGAGAACAAATTCGTGGTGTCTTATTGAATCTGTATTTTACAATGCAAGCAAAAAATTCATTGTTATGATATCTATACATGAATAAAACTGTAATTTCATTAAATAATTTTTCCTCAAAATTAATTCAATATGAAATTTTATGTTTAACAGGAAGATAAAATGAAAAGATAGTAATATAGAATTCATGTGAATAAATTCACATTGATTTTCACTTTATGAAATTTATGTTAAAATTTGGATATCTTGATTTGTCATTCATCACACATTATATATAGATAATATGTTAATGAATTTATCCACATAGTAAAATGGATTCAATGCACACCTATTCTTATCGGAATAGAGATTTCTGTTCCCGATATAATGTTATAACAATCTCAGCAAGACAATCAAACGTGATAAAATATTATATAATAGGGAAAGTGTTGAAATATAATCTTATTTATCACTGCCATTGACTTACTTCAAAGTACTGATGGTTGTACCCATAACCGAACCGCGAGCTGGTACCGATAACCGAGCAATGTAGTCACGTTTCCGATTTTCTGTAGAGATGAAACTAGACTAACTTGCTCAATGAGGACTGTACGTATAGTTCTGCCGGAGCCGAGCTCCGTAACCGAGTGAACGTGATAGTCGACGGAATTTGTCTGTCAATCCTATTACAGTCATATTTATAACCGTGCTGTATATAATAATTTCATGGGCACGTTCGCCATGCTCCCCTTCCATATTACTATGAAAATAGTAGGAGAGTGATGATTAACCTGTTATTTTAATCACATCGGATACCTATGTCTTATCGTCGCGTTTCGGAATCTTATCGCATCTATCGTGTACCAAAAGGATCGGAAGTCCAAAGGATCGTATCCGCAAGAAGAGAACGGAATGCATCAACAGTTTTGTCTCGTTGCGATTGTTTCTTGTGAACACAGACGTTTGATATTGTAACTATGAAGATGAGTCCAATCGTCGAAGATGAGTCACAAAGTATTAATTCACAGATGTTGCAATCAATTGACCTCTTTTATATAACTATAATATATCACATCTAGTTAAGTGATCCAACTATTGAGTAATAAGAGAAATGTTGTCTTGTAACGTATTTACGGAAGATAATAATGTTAGAATACGATATCATTATCTGTTTACTGAATGCCTTTGTAAACCACTGACTCTCGGTGTGAAGTATTTCTTTTATTTAATCTCTCATACAAACTTCAAAGTTTCGATCCTAGTTTGGATCCTTTTCAATGTCAAAAATTTACATTCGCGAAATCATTGTGTTTCCTGATACACTATACAGTAATAAATAAAAGCATTAGAAAAATATATTACTAATAAACAAAGTATCTTATCTGTTTTATCTCTATTTATCTGTTCACATAAATGTGAATGTAAATATATTCGCAGAACAACAATAGTGATATTATCAGCATTATTATCGATAACAATAACAATAACATCAATGTTGTTTCTCACATTATAATTAACATCAGTTGCATTCAACAGTTGAATGAGCGCTCGCTGCTATTGATGTATTCTTCCAGATCTAAAATGCTGATTGGGTGCTTTAAAAGAATACTAATAAGAGCGAGCAGTCACTCAACTGTTAAGTTGCGCTGAACGCAGCCAATGATATTTTCTCATTCAACAATATAATTATTACAACATGTGTTATATTGCATTTATATTTTATGTTACATTTATATTTTAATATGTTGAGAAAAATTATAACACTAATAATTATTTGTTTTCTGTGAATGTCTGCATATTGATATTGTTTAGTTTAGGTTCTGCGAGTACGTCGCATGCTAATTTAATAAATTTAAGGGAAAATTTATTCAGCAATATTTAATGTATATTTTAATAAATTTATTCTTCTTTATCTTTATTTTACAAAGGGAAGTTCCGGAGAAATCGATGACTCTCACCGATTTCAATGAAACTTGGCAGGGTATGTCTCCTGAATAAAAATCACCCTCCATTTAAGTGTAGTCTACCGTTTCCAAGATATTTCAATATTTCAAGATATTAAAGTTGGTAACGACATTTCTTTTAGAGTTTATTAGAAAGTTCATACTCGACTATTTGTAGCGTAGTGGAAACGTTTTCCAATGTTTCGTTGACATTCCGCTCGGTTTACATTTTTGTAATTATTTTCGAAACATTTTTAATAACACTTCATATCAAAGATAATTTATATCGACACTTCGTATCGATCTGCAAATAAATCCTTCATATCGAGCAGATATTATAATACTTCATATCAATTATAATATTTCATATCAAGCGGTAGTATATAAAGTTTATTATGAATATTGTATTAAAATAAGGAAGTAATTATCATATCTACAAGTACTCGAATATGAACGTTCTAATCTGGAAATACTGTTGCTAATTTTAATATTGAGATATTTCGGAAACAGTAAATGATCTACGCTCAAATGAGAGGTGATTTTTATTCAAGGGAACACATTCTACAATCTTGCCAAATTTCATTGAAATTGATGAGGGTTACTCCGAAGTCTCCCCTTGTTAACAAAATTATTTAAATTATTCAACATTGTTAATTATAAATGAAATGTGGGAAACAGTAGGATGGTGGTAATCAAAAATATTTATTCATATGTTAATTTCAAATTGAATTCTTCTTGTTGCAGAATCAGACAATAAGATCATAACTTTGAAGAAAAACTATTAAAACAATTATTAAATGTATTAAATTTTTATTTACCGATATAAGAAAATAATGTTTATCAGTAGCTTATCAGGTCAACAATCATCAACAAGCTGTTCCAAAAAAAATTTCAGAAAATAAAAAAGACAGACAATTATGTTTAATTTTTTGTTGTATGAAAGTTTTGAAAAATCTGATTATTGCATAAATTACGGTATACATGCATTTAAGTATGCAATTACTTATGCTAATCTTATAATGTCATAATTTCTTATATGAATTATCACTTAAAATTTTCATCAAATATATCTTTTTGTAGTTATTCATATGTGCATAAAACATTTTAGATAAATTTTAATTTTGAAATAAAACATTAAATAAAAAGTAATATATTACTTTTTAGAATTCTTGTAAGGTAATCGGTCCGACTGAGTGCCATGACTCCGTTCTCTTCTCAATTAGCAATTGTAATGATTTTATTTTTAAAATTTAAATTTTCTGTTATTAATTGAGTAAAAGAATATATGAAATTATGATATATGTAAATAGTGTTATAAGGCTATCGATAAATGACAACTAATTGTTTTAAAAAAAAAAGCTTATACGCATTTTCTCTTATATATATTTTTATGTCCTTATTACATATCCTCTTAAAAATACAATTTTAAAAATTATGTTACGATTATACATGATTCTGTATTATTTTGCATGACCATGATGTACTTAAATGTAAATCTGATGGTTCTTAGCATCATTATAATTTCTGAATTTGTTAATAAGCAATAATTACACTGACTAATCTCGTTTAAACTGTTTTATTTTGGCACGTGTTACAAGATAAATACGCTCGCGAGAAGGCTCGAAGGGAGAGAACTCGTTACACGTCAAACTTGTTTAATTAACGTTCTCGCGGCGATTAGTGATGCTCCTACGTACGTTTCTTCGAGGTACATGCGTGTATCGTGAAGATGATTCCTTTTCAACCTCCTGCCATTTCACGGGATAAGCTAATCGGTTGCCTTTATTCCACGTATACAACTCCTAAAATGAAATGGATTACACGAACGCGAAACAACAAAATAGTAGAAGATTCTATCTCAGTAAAGCACGTACCTTAGTCTTGTGATTATAACTAACTGCCGTGGTTTTGTGATACGGATTTGTAAACGACAAGTTTACATCCAGCGTCGTATTTTTGTAGAGATCGAAGGCGAATCTAAGAAATTCGGTCAAGTTACAAATAATAATTTTTAGGTCAAAAAGGAGCAAGTACAAGTAAATAATACAAATATTTCATGAAATTATTCGAGTATCGTCCCCTTATTTTAAAAGTGACACAATTTAAAAAATTAAATTTCTAAAAAACAAAGAAAATTATTTCTCTTCATTTGACATAAATTATTAATTAATCAAATAATATCGTAAAGGAATAAAGAATTATCTTAACATAATCGAATTTTTATCGTTTTCATTTCACGAAATCTTATTCCTTTTTAAAGAGTGGTTTTAAGGATTTAAAATATTTCTAAACTATCTTTTAAGTAATATTTTAATAATTTTTTATGAAGTTAATTCAGTTTTAATGATTAGTAGAATAATATTTTATATAATAGAATAATATTTAATAATTAATAATAGAGTAATATTTAATTGGCTGTCTCATATTATAGTTTAATTTATTCATATAAACGGTCTTGTTTCTAAAGTCTTAGAATAATATTTACCTAACTCATTCGTGTAATAACTTGAAAACACGTTTTTAAAAATATGTCATTGTTAAAATAAAGGAACGATATTTTGAAAGTAATAAAGGCACAATCCCACACTCTAAATTCTTTGGAGTAGAATCTCACTCTGAAGAATGAAAATTGAATCGGAAAAAGAATGATTCAATTTCCAATCTTGAATGCCCATTTCTATAAATGTGTAATCAACTAACCCTCCCTCTCTCTCTCTCTCTCTCTCTCTCTCTCTCTCTCTCTCTCTCTCTCTCTCTCTAGTTGTAAGAATTAAAAAAAAATGAAGAACAATTTGAGATTAAAGTTAATCTATATTAATAGAAACAGGCATAATCTCAAGAGTGAGATTTCAAAAGTTCGATAAAACAACAAATATTGAATATAATTCATAACATAGATGTAAAAAGAGTACATTTACATATATGTTATCTATTGTATATTAGCAGTTATTTATAAATATTATAGCAGTTATCTATTTGTTGAAAATAAAGATTAAAAGTGATATTAAATATAATAGAAAACATTGAAAATCGAAATATCCAAGAATTTTTATGGGATATGTGTACTGCATACGATTGTAGTTTTAAGAGCAATTCGTCACTCGCGTTACCGTATCTCCATAGTATCGTCGGTGACACTGCGTATAGCATAAAGCACGCCTCCTGCAATAAACATCTCTTCAAAACGACGGTGATCGATACTGATATTCCACGCGTATTGAATGATCATTTTAGTGGGATCCATTTTCACTACCACCGTATTTTTACCACTACAATTAGGGGATAATGGGTAAATGACCCACAAACCTGCAGAAACGCCGTATATTGTATTGTCACGCTACAATGGTTCCGTTTTATGTGGAAATAAATATTTTCAATCATTCAATTATTCAACTTTATATATAGAGCTTGAATATTTGTCTGTCCCGCAGATTTTACCATTTTCATCTACATTGAAATCCGTGTAGGTAAAATTGCGCGTGTAAAGGTAGTTTTGGCCGTCGACCTCCAAGCACGGAAGCTGCATTTCGCATTCGGAAGAGACCGGCTTGCATCTCTGATGATCCGAGGGCGCGTAGAGATCGTATCGAAGGACCGTCGATCGATGAATGGGATTGTAGAAAAACGATTTATCGTAAACTACATGTCCGTTACCCTAAAAAAAAATGTCAACCGCAAGCTCAATTCTCGCTTCAGGCATTTTCCATGTTTAGACGTTAAAATTTTCTAACGAAAATATGTACCCTTATTTTATCGTAGTTTTATAGTTACTTTTAAAACTCTGGAAATTTTGTAACTACACGATTTTGCTGAATATGTATTTAAAATTGTATTTAGTTAAATACAATCTGATCTGAAAATAATTTCATTGAATCATCAAAATAATTATCTAGAACTCTCAAGCATGATAAGTAATGTAAAAAGTTTTATATTCTAGCAATCAATTTGAGTATTATTTGATTATTTTAATGGTCCAACAAAATTATTTTCAAATCAGAATCTAGCTAATTTTTTAGATTCTTCAGTAAAATTTTTTTCGTGAATAAAAGAATGATTTATTAAAATATCTAAAAGAAATCCCGCACTGATTATATAGGAAATTGGATTCCAGTGGAATGACTTTATTTTAACACGTACACGAAAGAAAATGTAAAGTATAAAAAAGTTATAGGCTTTCTTCTCAAAAAGATTTTAATTTGTATAAAAAGTCCAAGAAATTTTCTGAAAAGTTCTAAAATTAATCAAAAATTTTAAAAGTGTCAGAAATTTACGTAATTTACAAAATTTACGTAAACATTTGAATACTGAAAAATTACGAATACTGAAAAATTTACGAATAATTTTGATCAGAAAGGTCCTTTATATAGATACAGATCTAAACATAATTTTGAATCATCAAAGTAATGTAGGACTCTCGAGTACGATGAGTAGTGCTACAAAAAGTTTCAACATTCCATTAGTAATCAGCTTGAGCGTCCTACTTAATTATTTTAATAATTCAAAATTATTTTCAAATCGAAATCTAGCTAAATTTTTAAATTTTTCAGCAAAATCATTCCTTCCATGTATAATTAAAGGCATCTCGTTGTTTGTTATTCTTAAGTTGCCAACCTGGAAAGCATAGGGTAATTTTTTCTTAAGCGCCGTATTGTTCTTGAAGTCTTCCTTCGATTTGTATTCATAGATGTAGAATGTATCGTTGTGGCGAGTAACCCAAAATCTGTCAGGCATGATATCGTTGGATGCATCGTGCATCCAACTTCCGTAGTGATCGTCCATGTTTCCTTTCAGCACAGGTTTTCCTATAGCCTCTATAAAACCTTCTGCGAATTTACCAACATCGCTTATTAACTTTTACGTCCTTAAGTCGGGAGAGTTCACGTGGAAAAAGATCGTTTTTTAGTCCACGATATTACGGGCACTCGTGTTTGACGAGAGTGCCGTCAGTTCGTTAATTACGTAAACTTCCACGATATTACGATCCTTTAGTCATTAATTCACGGGGGGAGGGGAAGTTCTCCGCTGTATACTTAACCTGCCATATGTACACGCTCGTACGAAGGTAGATAAATTAAAAATTAAATCAAAAATAAATTTCAATCAGTCACGTAAAATTTATAAAATTTATATCTTAAATATTAAATATTTTTTTCCAGCGCGACTATCCAGATCATCAAGTCAAAAAAAGTGAAATAATGATTACTTTTTAAGTGTAAAAAGAATAATGCTAAAATATCTTAAAAATTATCTAAATATATATCTAAAACTGCTCAAACTGAAAACTATTTTGCAGTACTGATCATCATATTTGAATTTTCTGCATAATTATTTTCACGGTTCAATAAATTTATTTTTAAATCTGTATTTAGCTAAATTTTTTAGATACTTTAGCAAAATTATTCAGCAAATTGTTCTACGTGAAAAACCCTTCAGGCATTAATATAATAACTAAAAATAACACTACTTATCAAATTTTCAGATTAATTATAATAAGGACATTTAAGCGAAAGAAAAATAGCATTTACTCTTATTTTCTTCACTAGTCTATCTAAATCAAACATATAATTATATTTGCTTTGGCGTTCATGCTTAAGCTTCATTTTATCCTTGTTGTTAATCAAATATTAACTAAAGACACATTCTTACAAATAATGTGAGCGTCAATACGAACGCAGCAACATATTATATTATCTCATTAAAGAAAAGAGATAAATACACTCATCAGATAATTAAAAAATATATAAAATTTTTTTAACTGCTGCAAAAAACAAAAACGTGTGTTCTTTAAATCTACGAAAAATATATGTAATTTATACGAAAATTATATTGCCTTTTAGTTCCATCTATTTGAAACTTAAAAGAGACAAGCTTAATACCAACTAATACTCAGTTAGCAACAGTGAGTGAATAGCAATCGTTTTCGGATGAGACAACAAAAACATAAATAGAACGCTTACGTTTTAGAAATCTCATATTCGTTCAGGAAAAACAAGAGATAAAGAGTGACTTAAGTGATTGGATGGCAGCGCTTCATTCGAGAACAATATTTTTTCTTAATTTCTATTTATTTCATAAAGATAAAAATATGTTACTAATAAATTTGTAAAGAATTATCGATAAGATACCCTTTTTGTTTTACATTATTATTTTCTTATTTTGTTTTTGTTTATTGTATCGATTAACAAGAATTTTCGACAAATATCATTTTGCAGCGTTTTGCTAAATATGTACATATACATTGTATATGTATTGTATATATGTATTATATATATAATGTATATATATATAATGAAAAAAAAAATACATATTAAACCTATGTTATATTGGGAAATGTACATTACGTATGCGTTTACACCAAAGCTTTGCACCTCTAGAATTAATTGATCTACCTTGCGCAAGAACGCCGTTGGAATACATTAGTTAGAATTGATTAAACGTACCGGTTGACCGCGGCGGTGGTCGCATAATATTAATATCGTTCAATGGTTGAACATGCAGATGGTCTATTATATCTGTGTATGTGCACTTTGGGCACGTGCAGGTTTCTTGCGTAGGGATGCACAATTCTTGCTCCTGATCAACGCTCATGGGCATAGGATGACCATATGTTATGTGCTCCTCCTTTCCTGATTTGTACTTCTCGACGTCTTTTATGTCGTCTAGCATTATTTATTATCATTAATTAGAAAATTTGATTAACAGAATTATTTTCTAGAGATAGGCGTTAGGATCAATCTTAAAAAAATTATGTTGAAAAAAATAAAGAAGCCGATTCTATAACTCTTAACTACAGTCATTGATGTTATTGCGCTTTTTTACTCTACATAATATCTGCGCAACGATTGTCATTAAGAGTTACAGAATTAATCCTTAAATTTCCAATCTCAAGAAAATCTTCAAATTATACAATGGATATAGAATGTGCTTTTCAGAATTTGTAACATTTTGTTAATATTTTTATTTGTATATTATTTATTAATATTTTATATCTATCTTTCTTGTTTCATTTTGAATGTTGAATTGGAAATGCAAATAATAGTGTATTATATTTTTTGCCTGGAAATATTATGCTATAAGATAATGTAGAATAACAGTGCACATCCTCACAAACTCGGAGGCTTCCTTCTATATCCTTCATGTTGTAATTAATTAGTAATTCCGTAATGGCTCTTTAGAATTCTATTATTAATGCAAGGAGAAATACAAGGTAATACAAGGTAAAAGACAAACCGTCTACTATAAAGGATCCCTTGACAGTGTCAAAATCGTTTTTTGCCACGCAGTGATAAGTCCCATGATCCGACGTAGTCACCCTCGCGATTCTCAGCTTCATCTTCAGCTTTTCAAAATAGTTTCACGTATTGTAAGTCACCTCATTTGTTGTTAACATATAGCAGACGAACAGGAACGATTTATTATCGATATTTATATATACGATAAAATACAAATTATTTAATGAAATAAAAAAGAAAATCGCGTAAAAAGCGATATAACGTGCGCGAATTTGACGAAAGTCCACGAATACGAATTCAACGGGTTACCTTGTAATTATCACGCCTATCGTAAACCTCCGTTCTGTACTTATCCGACATTTTCAGGCGGCGACCATCACTGCGTTCCCAATATACCACCGGCTCGGGAAAGCCTTCCACCTCGCATTCCAATGTCGCTGGATTTTGGTTTCGTACAAGTACCACTTGGTTGCGTATACGAATGAATGGCGCAACTGGAACGCGATCGATTATCAATTTTACCTACATCTGTGCCTATTGATTCGTGCAAAACTAGTTTTCTTTTCGAGTTATTCTAATAATACTAAAACTTAGAAAATATTTATGCGTGTTATAAATATTTATGCTCGCTATCACATGCGAAATTTTTTAAAACTTTTGAAGACATTACTATCGCGCAATTTTCGCATTTACAATGAAATATATACATATATTAAAAGTAAAAAGTAGAATAAAGAAATTTTATATGCAACATTTTAAAATATGAAATTATAGAATAAAGTAAT